GCTGTAATTGTGGGAGTTGAAGGTAGCACAAGAATGCAAGAAGAAACAGAGCAGCATTCATTGAAATTCTCGCTGACCTGTGCAATAGGCTTTCGTGCATGCCTGCGATTGAGCAGAGTGCTGGAGCTTTCTGGTTCGGGTAGACCGTGATTTGCAGCACCCCAGTCAGAGGTTTTTCCTTCCAGGAGAACATTCGTATGACGGTTGACCTGTGCAATAATATTTAACATGCCTGCAACCTGGCAGAGTGCTGGAGCTTTCTGGTGAACGGTCCACACCATCTCTCCAGAATGCCGGTGTGTGTTTTTGGAGTATATCTTTCCTGAGAATTTCTATAGATAATGAGTGCATGTGACAGAATTGAAGTGATGGTGCTTCAAGCAGGTGCAGCTTTCTTATGGGCGGACGTTCAGCTTTATCAGTTGAATCTCTAGCAAGCCTTATGCCAGCATCTTTCTGTCGATATAAACTTGGATGCTCACTTGCCTAAGAACCACCGAGAATTGCAACCACAACAATAGCGACAACTGTCATTAGGTTCCTTCATGGCACAGCTCATTTCGAAGGCAGGGTCCATCTTTGACGACCTTGTATCGGCGCCACTCTGTTTTTGCAAAACTTTTGCTGGAACGACCAGGATTTCACATGATAGAAGAGGCAGAACAAGGATATGCAGGATAGTTTCAAATCATGCAGAGCAAGATGAGGTACTTGATGGAGCACTGAGATGTGCAAAAGCTTGACGGTATGTTGCATGCAGCGGCGCCCGCCATTGAGCAATTCGCTCAATATACACACAATCAGCGCTCAGCGAGCCGCAGCCAGGTCACTCTCCCGGCAGAGGATGTGGAGGAGCTCAAACTCTGGCTACATGATGTGGAGCGCAACGTGCGTATCCCGTTCATTTATGCTGCTTGGATCTGCAAGCCGCAATGCACTCGTTGAACAGCTGTGGCAAAGCAATCGCAGTTGCGCTTGATCCTGAGGTTGAGGCTTGGTGCTTTGTCATCCCAGCCTTGAAGGAGGGAGGTTTGTCTGTGTCTCAGCTGCTTCTGAGAAGTTGGTGTCTCTGGCTGTTCAATTATGTCTGGCTGCTTGGCAGAGTGCTTAGCTTGCACCCATCTTCTCTCAACTGCTGCACAAAAGCACCAGCTTCGCTGTCCAGCTGCTCCTGGTGCCACACCTGGTCACCTGCCTTTACATTAGCCAATACTGAAAGGAATTCGGTCGCTCGTCTGCTTTGCTGTAGCATAGTCGTGGGAGTGCGTAGGCTTTGACTGCTTCAATGCAGCTTCTGCTGTTGGTTCTACCACACAACTCATATTTCTTCTGAGCAGTAGGTCAATTCTCATGGTGCAGCCGAACGTGAAGAAGGCGACAAAGTCTCCCATCGACATGCTCAAGGCACCGGAGCGGGCTGGCACTGTCGCTGTCCGGTATTGGCGATTTAGGACCGGCGCTGCAACTAACATCTCGCTCGACGAGATTGTGGAGCTGGTGGTGGCACGGCGCAACGATCCGGCGCTAAAACCGCCAAAGGAGATCCTCTTCCATCGCGGGCTCCTCGCGATCTTTCAGGTAGGCTATAGACAAAGTTCTGTCTATTTCTGTGTCTCTTCTTTCATGAGTCTGCCCGAATCAATGCCTTGCTTACGGGGACCTCCTTTCTAAACAAGTTGCAATTGCTGGATACAGCTTCTCCGAGGCAAGCCACTTTTGAATCAATCAATCCAGTTTCATCCCACTGAGCAACAAGCGGCCTTAGTGATCATAAAGTTGTCCTTTTAGATTTGGCAGGTTGCTCTCAAGAAGCTACTAGCCCTCCTCATCTGCTTCAGAGAATCTCCATGCTGATCTAATGTTTGGTGAACTCATTGATCGGTTGTGCCGCATGCTTCCTGTCTATCATGTCTGTTCCAGAATGCTCAATCATGCATTGAATTGCTGTAGAATCTGGTTCAGCCAAGCTTTCCTGTGCTGTTGCGGCCCAGTCTCAATGGCAGCTTTTCAACCCTCATTTAAGCAAGCGAGCACTGTGTGATCCTGGGGCATGGCTGTACAGGCGGCGGCTTTGGGGCAGACCGACGTCCGCTTCGAAGTGGAAGACTTTGCGCAGGAGAACAAGGCACGAGAGGATGTGCGGACGTTCGCCACCCTTCGGAGGCCTCCGTCCCCGGTCCAGCGGTCGTGCAACCCGAACGAAAACAAGAGGACGTGGCACTGCTCGAACGTGATCGACCAGACGGGCATTAGCCAGAACAAGGAGGCGCTTTCAAAGGTACACACTAATACCACATTGTCCAGTCGTGGCTCGTAAATTCTGATTCAATTTGCCTGTCAGAAATTTTCAATTCCAAGTGCAGCCTTGCAATTTTCAAACTCGTTCCAATGGACCTGCCAAAGCTTCCAATTCGGCGATGATCACAAACCCTTTCAAAAGAATACTTAGCCATGGTTGATGCTGCGCAGACACGAATAGGACGTATGGCAAAGTTGCAAATCTTGTGAACAAAGTACCTGACAAGGACTCCCTCCCGTGCGCAGGTTTGGAAGTGTATTCGAGTGCACATGCCTGACGAGATGGAGGAGCAGTCGAGTATTGTGGGGACGATCAGCAGCCGCTTTGAGTTGTTATTCTTTGCGGAGTTCGAGGTCAGGAGGCGGCACGATGGGTCCTTCGAGCTTTCTGCGGTGTACCTGGCCCCGTGCCCCCCCCGCTCCCAGTTGAGCGCGGGAGGTGATTGCCTCTGGCTCGTGCCAGACCTGGACGCCAGGCTGCTGGCGCTGGAGTACGTCAAGAAGGACGAGCGCACCCTCGCTGCGGTGCTTCCGCCGGAGCCGCTGGAGGGCTTCACCGCGGCCGTCAGGCAAGTTTGGGGCCTCAGCCTGGAGCGTAGGTAGTTGCTGAGGTTGCGTTCGAACGTGCACCGCTTTCTTTCATTCTTTCAAGGTCTGGTTGAACCAGCTCCGGCATTTATGGAGGTTGAGAGGTTTCTTGAGATTCAGCCAGCTGGGCGCTGAGTTGAAACCAACTGGTCAGTTGCCTAGCAACCTTTTAGTTGATTGTCTCTTGACATCTCTCGGGAGCACTCCCTGGCTGTTTATCGCATGGGGCGGAGTGGCGCAGTCTGTCATCTGACCGTAGCAGAAGTCACGGGGGCTGTCCAGAATCTTGTCTTGTTGGAGAGTTAAGCGTCACATCTCTCTTCTTTTCTACCCCAGCTACGCCGACCACATAGCGGAGACGCACAACATCGCAGTGGCCACGCTTCAGCTGCACCCGGGCACGTTCTCCAACTTCGAGGACGGCGGTTTTTCGACCTCCAGTCAGGCGGACCCGATCGACCTCGACGACTCACGGGCGTTCCATGGCCCGAACTCCGTCGTCCTGCGCGTAAGGACATGGCTGCACCCATCTCATGTTTGCTGTCTGTTCTGCCTTTCGTGTCTCCTTTCCAACGAGTGAAGTCGAGCACGTGGCGCGACGGGCCCTGTGCCAAGCTTGAATCGTGACTGGTGGTCAAATTACCAACTTTGAGGGTATTAGACGGCCCGGACCCTTGGGCCGCATGTTGTGGTGAAACCAGTTGGAACAAAGATGAAAGTGGGTGGATCATTGCCTTTCTCGATTGGTCCTGGTAGATCTTCGTTGACGTGACAGGAGAAAGTTATACTCTTGAGGACTCTCCTGGGCTCATATTTCGTGACTTTTCGATTGACGGAAGAGGAAAGAATTTCTCCCGAAGCAGGTCTGACGGACTACCCTCTGGTTGAGCATGAGCAGTGTCTTCAATCGGCAGATATCCAGAAGGTGGTAGTCTTGCCGGGGGTGGCAGCGGCTCACCCTTAAAGCAGTATCATGTGGATGAGCATTCATTGTGGTGGCAAATCAGGTCGGGGCCACCGTTTCCTTTCTCAGATATGGCCATTCTAGCGGCATCAGTTCCGTGAGGCCGGCACTACTCTCTTGTATCCGTGAGGTAGCTTCCAGCTGAAACCTGCTGACATGATCTTGAGGTTACGGGTCCCATTGCAGAGGGCGCTTCCAACATCGCACCCTTGGCGCGAAACCCGTGTGACAATCATGGATGGCTTCTAGCTGACCTGCACGCCTTTGGTTATGGTTTTGAGCGAATCCCTCCTTCCTTGGCTGCAACGAATGAAACATACTTTCGTGAGAGTTTGAGGCATTGGACGTAATTCGAGCAGGTCAGAACTGTACGACCCCGTTGCGTCACCCCTCCAAGGAATCACTTGCCTGTATGTCAACGAAAGGGGCCCTAAGGAATAAGCCTTGTGAAATCACCGGCTAAAGCGGAAGGAGTCTAGCTGCCAACCAGCTTGACCTCGGTCAGGGACTGACCTGATTGCCGGTACCTTTCAATTGCAGACAATTGAGTAGGTCGCTCTACGTCTTGAGCTGCTACTTGTGAAGTCCAATCGTGTCGCATGAGGCTTACATGTTCGCTCAGCTTGCCTCATTCTTTCTTCTCTGTATTGAGAGAGGGTTCTGGCGCAGTCGCGGAGGAATCCGTTTTTGATGAAGCGAGTGGCGTCGGAGGCCTGAGGTGGCGTGCGCGTGTCCATAGAAATATTGTTCTTCTGGTGCAGCCACTGGGAGCGAACTACGTGGTCAAGATTGCCGACCTCGACAAGATCATGAGGGAGGTCGAGCTGCACCGCGCCATCGACACCTGCAACTGCCGCTACCTCCGCAAGGCGCTGCTCGACCTGTCGGGGAAGGTCGAAGGAGCTGGGCCGGGGCTGGCAGGCATCGTCCTTGAGGGTTTTCTCCACCGAAAAATCAACGCCAACGACTGCGCGGTGGACGGGGGGAAGCTTGGCATCATGTACTTTGGCCACGTACGCATCAATGCTGACGACATAATGAGGCTTTTAATGTAGCGATTCTGACAATTGTTTCTCTGCATATTGCAGAGCCGATTGATTGAAAAGACACGAGTGCCTCCGCAAAATCCGTTAGGTTCGCCGCTGCTATCGAAGCTCTTCAAATAAGCAAACGCTTT